ACTTGAGGTACCAAGGAAATATGCTGACTTTCGAATCACCTGAGGGAGACGCCGCTCATGCCAATCAAGGAGACCACACACACACACACACACACACACACACACACACACACACACACACACACACACACACACACACGCTCATGTACCCTGCGGATGCGTCGCGTCAATGCGCCTCAAGTCCACGCATGGGCATCGGACACCAAACACAAAGTCGGGAAAATGGCCCGATGGATTTGCCGCGTAATTGCGCGCGCCCACGTGACTGCGATTCCAAACCAACTGAGGCTTGACGCGCCGGCCGAAAGAAACGGGAGAAAAATTCCTGCCGTTCTATCGGGCAACTAACTGATCATGCCGCTTGGAGCCAAAGCAACGTCCGGCATTTTCGTTCTTTCCAATGAAGCGCCGCAAAGTAGAAATTCCACAGAGGCGGCGGTTTTTCCCTCCATTTCGGGCAAATTGGCTCGACTCACCTGAAACAATGCGGTGGCCATCCTCTCTTGTCCCGCCAATCACTTGAGGTGCGATGCTTCTTCTTTCCCCCCCACCCCCACCCCCACCCCCCCTTCTTAGTGCTGCATGTTCTCGCTCTGGTGAGGCTAAATCCGCTCAGTGTTACCTTGGTGCAGCGCACAGATGTTTGAGTGAAGGGGGAGTGTGTGTGTGTGTCAGAAAAGAGAGGGAGAGTGTGTGTATGAGTGTGTATGAGTGTGTGTGTGTGTGTGCGTGTGTGTCGAAGCTCCAGGCTAATAGGTCTGGCTCTCGTCTCCCTCTCACTCCTCCTCCTTCTTCCCACTCGAAAAGAAGAAGAAAAATGTCCGAGAGGTCTCGATGAGAGCGCAAAAAGTCCGTCCGGAGGCGAATCCTAACATCCCGCAACTGGAAACATCGCAGTGCAGCACGCCGCGCTGGAGAAGAGAGGCAAATGTCTGGCGCTCGAGGTTACAGCTTTTTTTTTTTTTTTTCCCCCCTCCACCTCAGTGTGTGTTTGCTGCTTGGGCTTTTCCCCTCCCCTCTTGTTCGAGACGTACAAGTCATGAGAAACAGAGAGAGAGAGAGAGAGAGAGAGAGAGAGAGAGTCGAGGGAAAAAATAGATTCAAACTGAATTTCCCATGGTGGGACTTGGACTTGGGAAAGAGGGAGAGGGGGAAAACGTCCATTCTTATCAACATCTCAAGTTACAGGTTAAATATAAGACCCCCCCCCCCAAAGGTCCTTCAAGAAAAAAAGAAAAAGCTTCTTTCCCTGACTTTCTCTTTCTCCAACACACGCATGGACATGCACGCGCCCATCGACTTGACGATCCAAATCAAAAAGCAGCGGCAGCAGCACGGCGAGTATCTTTCACAGTCGCCCTCCGACACATCACGTCACCTTTTCGCCTTTACGTCACGGCCTTCGCAGGAACAGCCCTTCCGCCGCGACGGACGGCAAAATAACTCATTGCACCTGTTGAAACCCTTGAAACTCCTGCATCCGGTTTTGTCAGCCATTATGGTCGAAAATGGTCCGATGTGGTCGCGTGCTGGGCGCAAATAGAGGACGGAATATGGGGGAAAAAAAAACTCATGTTTTACCTTCGCCTTGTACCCCCGGCCCCCCCTTCAGTGTTAGCGTAGCATCTCGTTCCAAGAACTCAGCCAGGGCAAAAAAAAAAAAAAAAAACAACGCTGGTATGGGTCCAGACTTTTCTAAACTTTGAAATCAGCTCCGGTGGAAGGGGATAGCGCGTTGAAAACATCATGATCAAGGTCGCGCGCTCTGAATAGCCGGCAAAGTCGGCGATTTGATTAAAACACAGCAGGCAGCACTTGGTGGATGTCAAAATAACTTTTGCGGTGGTTAAATGGCTCCGTTTTCCGGCCACTTTGCCGTCCGTCGCGCCGCACGCCGCCGCTAAGAGTCGAGGGACTCACACGTCAATGACTTGGATTGTTTTGTCGCTTTGGCAGAAGAAAGCGAGCCCTCGTTATTCGTGGAGCTTCGCTGGCAGACAACAGCGGAGTCGCAGCCAAATATTTATTGTCTTCTTCGTATCTCGAGTAGCGCCCGTCCACGCATCCTTCACAACAGCAACTGGGCCGTTCAACGAAGTGTCCGGTGGTGACAACCATTCAAGAAAACGGAAAACATCGACAAAAGGCTCTGCCAGTTTTCTTTTTTCTTGTGCGGTGGCAATGCACGAGCAGACACTTGCGTAACTGACGTCAGCATTTTGTGTCATGGCAGTTGGGCGGCCCGGGGAAGTTCGGAGGCCCGGCTGGCCCGGTAAGCGTGGCGCCGCGACGTGTAATGAAAGGAGCGCCCCCCGTGGCCATTCGAAGCACGGCGGCTCCGCCGGCGAGGCGTCCTCTTGAATCTGGTGTTCACCAGATGCCGAGGCGGCAAAGTGTTGCTTCATTGGCTGTTAACGCCGAGGGCCAGGAAGGAAGCGAGGGGCTGCCGGAGAGGAAAGTCGGCGAGCGTGCCTTTTCTGGGCCAAAAACAACATGCTTGTTTATGGCAGATAAGCCTTTTATGTGGGGGCCGGCCCCAAGTGGGAGGCGGGGGGGAAAGTCCCCTCGCGCTTGTTTCATATGGGGGGGCCGCTCACTGCGTGGCCCCCATTCGGAACCCTCCCGTCTCCCGTGAAGCCTGAGAAAGCAGGAGAAAAGACGACCATGCCCAGTGAAGAGCCTCATCTTCGCGGGCCACGTCGAGCCAATCCATTCGCCGAAAAAGTCACGTATTCCGCCAAAGCCCCCCTGGCAAACGTGCGCGTCATTGGTGTCAAGGAAGTCAATGCGTCTTATGGAGTTGACGAGGAGAAAAGGAGGTCTAGGGTGAGGTCCACTTTCACAAGTCTGACTCAGGCTTTCCCAAGCTACAGCAGAAGCAGATGACGGGCCCCTTCGCCAACAGCCACGCCAGATGTGACGCTGACGTTTGTCCGGGACCTGAACATGGACATGGAACACGAAATGGATTTTCGAATGGCTACTCCTTCTGGGACTAAGCTGTCCACCAGTGAGAGGAGGGCCCAAAACACGTCGCTCTCCAAGTCCCTCCATGACGGCCAACGTAAAAATACAGTCACGTAGTAGGCCCAAGTGTTTGTCAGCAAGACCGTGGTTTAATTGCCAAAAAGGATGACCGTACGGATTCTTCTAAGGCGCTGCGACATGAGGCACAATCTGAACCTCAAATAAGGGGCGGGGGGGGGGGGTCACTATAAAAAACAAATTAAAAAAAACAAAGTTCTGAACCGAATAAAAAGACCCCCGTTTTTTGTTGGTTTTTTTTTGCCAAAGTTCAGATTGTACAGCGAAGTCAAACGCAAAGCAACAGTAACCCCCGTGAAATGACTTTTGGCAGCGAAAGGACGTCCCTGCCTCGTGGCCTGCGCTCGCCTCATCTTTGCCACTTGTCTCCTCCACCCTGTTGGCCGGCGTTGACATTCTTCCCGCAAGTCCTGATCACTCCATCGCGCTGGCGCGTGGGTGTTCCTGTTTGTTTTCTCGAGCGTATCCACGCAGCGCGTCACTAGGACATGACCGCGGGCCCCTCGCGCAGGCCACTCGCTCCACCGCCGGCGCGAGGACACGAGCTGGGCGGCGGTGGGCTCGTACTTTCTTTTGGGATTTTTTTTGGGATGGCCGGGGGGGGTGATTAAAAGCTGTGCCGATGGGTACGTACACGTGGGCCGCACGGCAAATGAGCGTGGCGAGCCAGAAGGCCAACCTCCAAGCATGAATGCACGTACGTTCTCTCGGTCGTTCCCGTGATTGTCCCAACTTGCAAGGAAAGCAACGCGGCAAATAAGCAGCTGAAAGTATTTTTGGAAAAGTGTATCAAGGAGCATTCATGAAATGAAAAGTGATTATTTTGACTATTTTTGCAATGACCACTTCACCCCATCCCCAAGTTATCCTCACATTAATAAAAAAAACAAAAAAAAAAAACAACTATGTTCTACCCCTCATTGCCGTCCGAATTAAAAAGCAGACAATTTTCGAGGAGGAAAGTAGAAACAAAACTCCGATTTGTTTGAAGAACTGGAATGTCATGAGTTTGAGGTCCATGAAAAAGTCCATGTTGACAAGAATAAACCGGTATTTTGTTCCGATGAAAAGTCTTCATCTTCCGTGAATCAAGCCGTATTTTTTCCAAGATGAAGATGTGAGAATCAAACGACTGAAGGAAGTCAGATTGGAACAAGTCCATTTGCAAAAACGCCTTCTGTCTGCCCTCAATGACGTCCTTCCAGTTGGCGTCTTCATCGCCACGTCAAACTTTGGCGACATGCCCAAAGCGTTTTTCACATCCACTTGCAAATAAACACGTGCGTGTTACCAACATTTTCACACGCGCGGTGCCAAGTGACTCACGCCTGCGTTACAGCACATCCAATACAGTGAAAAAAAAACAACAACATTGTAACGTGTCTCGGGAAAACTCCCAAAGAGAGGAAATCCATGCATATTTTATGGCCATCAGAAGAGCACTGAAGATGTTTTTTTTTTACCCCCCCCAAATTGCCCAGCAAGCCAGGATGCATTTGCCAATGAGCCTAGTTAGCATGTAAGGTCAGCAAATGACAGCCAAGAATGTCCCCCCCCCCCCCCCCACTCACGATAGCGATCAGGAGGAAGGCCATCAGAGCCCCTCCCTTGCTTGTCATCTCTCAACCTTGTTAGCAAATTGTTTCCTGTCGAGGCCGTGACATGTTCCTCGGAAATGTTTGCAAAAGGAAATGCCGCTGTGATTTTTGGGGATGGAATGTTTCACTTTTGTATACAGAGCCGCTCAAAGTACGCCCCCAGCCTCGGCGCTCTGCTAACGGCAACAACAGGCCTGGGCAAATGTTTTGGACCCGTTCCAAAAACGGGCTGCGTGGCACTCGCGTTTCATGGCGAATCCTTTCAAATTAGTGTCGCCATCTGTCCGAATATCACAATCTAGTGCTTCATGAAGCTTCGTTTTCCTCCCGATACGTTCGTGAGTGTGCGGCTCTTACCTTTGCTTCGCATTTCTTGTGGCAAGGAATTCGGCAAACTGGGGGAGAAAGAGAGAGTGAGAAAGAGAGAGAAAAAGGATAGATTAAGCCCACGTTATTCATAGCCAGCCACAAATGAAAAGACAAACAAACAAATCGTGTGTCATTTTTGTTCTAATCGTCAGTATGCCTGGACAAAAGGATGCGTGAAAAAACAGAAAACCCTCTCGAAAACCCTAAGATGGTGCCCTTTGTGGCACCATCTTAAATCTCCTCATCATTTTGCTTGAGGAGCTTTGCTGAAACTATGCTGGACTATCAACCAACGAAAAGCGGCGGGGCGGGCTGCCAAAGGAGTCCTCGTGGAAAACAATCATCAACCGTGCGAATGTGTTATTTGGAGACCGCGTGAGTTAAGGGAAAGCTCTCAAACGCCGTCCAAGCCATCGCGCGTTCCTCTTGGACGTCAAAAGCGAAATTTGCAGGCGCGCTCACTGGAAGGGGGTCCTACAAACGAGGGTCGGCAGAGAAGGACCCGGGCGAGCGCCTCGTAAATTGTCAGTTCCCTTTGCGAAGGATACCGAGAGCGAAAACACGACGCCGCGTGCTGTCCAAATAAAGGAGGAGGCTGTATGCTTGGATTGGAAAAGCATCGGCCCTTATGTCATGAGTTCTGCTTCTTCCTGTCTCGAGGCACATTTTTCGATGGCGCGGTCATGGCGTGCGCTATCGGCTGTCATTACTTGCTCTGCTCTGTATCTACAATGAGCTCCTGGCTGCATGGCGGACGGCCGGCGTCGCTCAGGCTCGCTGGACTTAGCAGCCAGCAAATATCCATCCATCCATTTTCCGATCCGCTTTATCCTCACAAGGGTCGCGGGGCGTGCCGGAGCCTATCCCAGCCGTCTTCGGGCAGTCGGCGGGGGACGCCCTGAACCGGTTGCCAGCCCATTGCAGGGCACACACAGACGAACAACCGTACACGTTCACGCTCACACCGAGGGACAATTTGGAGTGTTCAATCAGCCTGTCATGCATGTTTTTGAAATGTGGGAGGAAACCAGAGTACCCGGAGAAAACCCACGCAGGCACAGGGGAGAACATACAAACTCCACACAGGAAAGCCGCAGCCGTGATCGAACCCCGATCAAACCCCGAAGAAGTCAAGTATCCTCTTTGCACATGCCATGACCAGGATTCGAACCAGGATTGCGGCAGTCACAACGCAAGGTATTAAATACGATAAAAAAAAGTGCATGCATGACAAAACAAAGCTCCTTTTGACATCATTTGACGGACAACGGTCAAGACCCGATCCCACGGAATTTCATTTTGAAAATCGATTCATTTCACTGTTGCGAGTATTTGAATTATTGCCAGCTGTTCCTCTTTCAAAATGGGAAAAAAGGGCTCCAAAATGTCTTGAAGGTGAAGTGACTTTGCAGCATGCTCATTTTATTTTTGGACAGAGCTAATCATCTATTCTTGCCGCTTATGGCTTTCCCAAAGAAAACGGACGCAACTGAAACTCTTTCGAGGTTCTTTTCCAAAAGTCCCTCAAGCTGCCACTGGAGGGAGCCTCGTTGTACAGTCGCAAGTCGCAACACACCAGAGGGATCTGCGATCGGCGCTGCGGGGAAGAGCCGGCCATTTTGCAAAGACACGATAAACAGACGACGTGATTTCTGAGGTATGCGCCAATTTGAGAACGTGTCAGAACAATCGCACGTGTCGACCGCTGTGAGGAATGCATCAACGCAAGAGCGGAACGGCTTCCCCTCATTTACGCACTTGTTTTGAAGGGCAACGCGTGGAAATTGGAAGAGGTGTCTTTCAGTGGTCAACCGCGTTTGACTCTTTGCCTGGGGTGTGCCCAACAAAGATCTACTTTTCAAGCAAGCGACCTCCCGCGATCGCCCCGTTACCGCCACGGCCCCGAAAATGAACAAAAGTGACAAAAATGAAGTCGGCGCCAGAGTTTGTGAGTTAGTAAAAAGGAAATGACTGGCCACCTCCGTCGCGCAGGCACGGGACGCAATTTTGCAGCGTCTCAAGTGCAAGCACGCCACGAACATCGCTCACGTGTGCCATTTGAAAATGTCATCAAACGAGCGTGCTTTCATTCTTGACTCTTGGGCGACTTTGACAAAAGAATGTCACAGACAGCTGGGAACTCTTACATTGCGCAAAAGACGACGTCTCCTGTAAACCAATCCTCAGTTTCAGACCGACAGCTACAAGTTGGAAAATGGGTCAATGTGTGCCCCAGCATGGGGAGGGTAAAAGAAATGCAATGACATCATCCGACATTTGGTTCCTATTTCGGCCCTCGAGAGACATTGTTCTACTGGCGTGAACTCGGGGTGGTTAAAAGTCATTTGGACTTGTTAATTACAGGCCATCAAAAGTAGGCGACGGCGGGAAATCCAAGCAAAAAAAAAAAAAAAAGAAAAAAAAAAAACCAGCCGCGTTTCTAAGGTCTTCACATCATGGCACAGATTGCGCAAGAGCCAAAGAGCAAAGCGCCGACGTTGCTTGCGGAAGAAAAAGCACACTTGCAGGGGCTTTTGTTCAAATGCTCTTCATTTTGCAACCATTGACTAATCAGTCACTTATTTGTATTTTCCATCCCTCGGTTCAAACACAGGACATTTATGATATATTAGTTTCGTTTGCTGCCACCATTTAGCACGGGATTTTTTTATTTTCTTCTCCTTACAAATAAGAGCAAAAAAAAAAAAAAAAAAACATCGAATTGAGCATAGCGACGGCTCATTTTTGAAACATGAGCGCAGTCGCTTGTAAGCCACGGCATCGCCGCGCGTAATCAAGGCTGATGAATGTCGGCATGTTTCCACGGCGAAGCGTTACCCGCCGCACGCTTTCGTCCGGCCTGCGTTGATGCGTTGCGACTTTCATCGCGTCCCCAAAAATAGCGCGAAGATGGACACCGCTGAAAAGTATGCGAGATAAGTGGCAGGGAAAGCGCCTGGGTCACTCAAGTCCCCGCCGAAGATCTGAATTGCCCCGCCCGCCACCGGCACACAAATGGCAAAGATGGCGGTATTGGACTATTCCAATCTTGCCGGTTGCCCCGAGTATTGCGCAGTGTAAACAACAACAAGATGGCACAGCGTAGTTGACAGAAATAGTCAGAAACAGGACGAGAGGAGCGTGTACGACACGAGCGCTTGGTGCATGACTTTGGAGTTGAGCACAAAGTGTGCGAGGAGGGAAAATATGATGGATGGAGAGTTGGGCCGTTTCCTTCCGCTGGTCCTTCAACAACGAGCGTGCAGTCCCACAGGGCTGGGCCGAACCCCTCCCCGTACATACAACACTGAACACAATCGGAGGGCAGGGCTGGAGCGTTTCCTCTCCCTTCACTCTCACTCCCCCCCCCCCAACCCCACCCAACCCTCTTACGTCCTTTTTCTCAGCTGTACCGACACGTGAGCGCCAACCCATGTACGCAGGCCACGTGCGCGCCCTTACCGACACGCTACTTGTGTACACCGTTTCACAAGCCTCCAAAATGGATTCCAACAATCCGAAATGAAGATGCAAGCCATCGGTTGGACACTTTGTGTTGTCGACTGAGCAGATTTTTGCGCAAAAAGCAGAGAGCGCTCCATGGTGCGAAGAGAAGCAGTTTGCCACGTCGTGGGCAATTGTTGGAAAAAGAGGCTCCAAGCTATTTGTTGCCACTCCCAGCTGAAGTTTACTCTCACGTCAGGCTCACACTCACGGCGCAACGTCAGAACAAACGAGACTTGCATCGATGTTGCGAAAAGCGAAAAACAAATGACTGCAGCTGACTGATGTACATGTAGCACACTGCCCCTGGTGGCCAAGAAGCACACAGCGGAGGGCACAATGTATTATTACAGCAGTGGTTCGTGAAGTTTTTACACCAAGTAACAGTTAAATTTTTTTTTTTTTTTTTAAATGCGCTCGCCCTTCAACGATCACCACAATGTCCAACTTTAACAGATAGTAACGGAGCAAGTAATGGTGATCAAAAATGAGGCAGAGGATTTATTCCTAAAAATATTCTTCATACTTTTGTACGTCGTGAACATGATGCAGAGTTTTAAGGACAACAAGGCTCTTGAAAATAGGGGGAAAAAAAATGCAAAAAGTTGGGCCGGCTACCTCTGGAGAAATGTTTACATTTTGACTTGTGACTTATTTTGCGCACTCTTCGCACTACGATGCAAATTGCTGCTTGCCCGACCGTCTCCCCCGACTTCTGGATTTTGGCCTGTTTTACTGCCAACACGATATATGCGTCCGCACATATGCCGTAATGTTATGGCTTGGCGTCGGCCGGCTGCGTCTCGCTTGCTTAAATCCGGAAATGGATTTTTCGTCTGTGTGAAAGCTTCCCCGCATTTGATGGGCTATAATTTGCAACCTCGATACATCGTGCGGCTTCATATTTTCACACGCCGCAAAACCCAGCGGCCAAGACGCGGCATTCACAAAATCTCGTGTCAGAACTCCGGATCATGATGATCTCGTCTCAGTTTACTCACTATTTATTTGACTCATTGTAAAATGCTGGTTGGTTTAGGACAGGTGAAAACAAAAAAGGACTCTTCCGTCGCATAGATGGCAACCGGTGGCGACACAGGTTAGTTGTACGCTCTGCCAGCTAGCGGAAGAATATGATCAGATGATAAGCATTCCCGGCGCAATCAAGAGAAATTGGATCATTTTCTATTGCACCTCTGAAGACCTCTCGCAACGTTCTCATCATGCTCCTGCATCAATTTGACCCGCGTCGTGTGGGATTATCCAAATGCGTCCCGAAATGAAATGAATCATAACATTGAGTGTGATTTGAAACATAGCCCGAGACATACTCAATCGCTTCATTTCACCCCTGACGGTTGGCCGTGCACTCCAGCGAGCCAACTATTTGAACACAACCGTCCATTTTCCTTTGAACTCGGTTGCATACCGTATGTCTCGAAAGACGTTTTAAGGCATATGATTGATGGCCTTGAGTCATACGAGGGCTTCATCATTCTGCCGCCCATCCCGCAGCTGCAAAAATCCTTGTGGGGGGGAAAAAGCTCCACCTTTGGCCAGCTGATGCGCTCGTCATGGGATGTTCTTCAAAGTGTTTAACAGCTGCTACAGTCGAACGCGATCGGCATGCAGAGAAGGGCGGCGGGCTGCAGGCCTCGTGACCGACCAAGTGACTCCAGCGCCCTCTTGTGGATGGCATCCCAACTACAGTATGTACGTGTGTGCGTGCGTGTGTGTGTGTGTGTGTGTGTGTGTGTGTGTGTGTGTGTGTGTGTGTGTGTGTGTGTGTGTGTGTGTGTGTGTGTGTGTGTGTGTACCATACAAGGTTTGCCAGCAGTTAAAATGATGGCGGATCACTTAGAGGCACGAGCATGTTTGGTGTTCCCTCGCAACAAGACAAGACTGCTGAATGACTCCATCTCTGACGTTGACATCTTTGCATTTGATCTTTGTCAAGTCAAATAGTTGGCTAAAGCTATTTCATTGCATCTCTGTTGCAACACACACACACACACACGTACCTAAGAAAGTGTCTCAGCAGTGGAAATGGTTGTACTGATGTCATATGGCCAAGAGATGGCGTGCTCGCCCTCACATTACGCATCAGGATTCACAAAGTGCGAATGAGCCACTGCACATATTTGACATGAGAAAAATCTCAGGGCAACAAAACCGTCCCTTGACTCTCCTGAAAAAAATGTACTCACAGTTTGAATGTGTGAAACGTTTCGTTTATTGCCCTGATACTGTTTTATGAATGGAAACATTGGATGAGAAATGTGTTCCTCTTCCCACCCAATTTCCCCGCTGTGAGAACCGCCCCCCGTGTCGCCCCAACACCCCATCAAAACAAGCTACAAATATTTTTGAAACTTTTGAACGGTATCAGTGTGTGAGTGTGTGTTTGTGTCTCAGTGAGACCAACATATATACCAGCTGTATGAGCTCAACCATTTCCACTCCTGGGACACTTTATGAAGTACGCCTGTGAACAAAAGAGATGCAATGCAATAGCTTTAGCCAACTATTTGACTTGACAAAGATCAAATGCAAAGATGTCAACGTCAGAGATGGAGTCATTCAGCAGTCTTGTCTTGTTGCTATGGAACACCAAAAATGCTCGTGCCTCAATGTGATCTGCCATCCTTTTAACTGCTGGCAAACCATGTATGATACACACACACACACACACACACACTCCTGCAGTGTGCTTTTCATCCAGCCCGTACACAAACTGAGCCCGCTGCTGCACCTCTGTCAATGAAAATAAAAGTCACTTCCTGCCCCGGAGGCCCCCGCTCTCCCAAAATACCCCATAACACAGTTCCTTGTTTTGTAAGAACGCCGCTGACCTGCGTCAACACGCCTATTGTGAGAGTAACCCACACCTTGTATCCTGGCAACCCACGGCTGGGAGGAAGTCCAAAGGCTTGCGTCATGGGGAGAACATGTGACTGGATAGTGTTGGTAAACAAGAGCGGCAGAGGGGAGCTATCAACGGGCCCAGTACGAAGGATGTCCCGAAAACAGGTTTCTTTTATATATATGTTTTATAGATAGATAGATAGATAGATAGATAGATAGATAGATAGATAGATAGATAGATAGATAGATACATAGATAGATAGATAGATAGATAGATAGATAGATAGATAGATAGATAGATAGATAGATAGATAGATAGATAGATAGATACATAGATAGATAGATAGATAGATATGGCAACCAGTTCAGGGTGCCTGAAGACAGCTGGGATAGGTTCGGGCACGCCCACGACCCTTGCGAGGAGAAGCTGATTAGAAATTCCTTTTCAATCCTGTTTTTTAGGCCTACTAAAAGTCAAGGCTCTCGGTCCATTCTCTGGTGTTCAAGCGCGGGCATGATTGTATATTGTGAAATGATAAGTTCAGTTCCTCCTGGGTCAGACACGTCTGCTTCACATTTCTGACTTTCAGCATATTTGTGAGTTTTCGAAGAAAAATTGTGACATGAAAACACGGAAACAATCCCACTGAGCGGGAATCGCTCTCAATGGTCCAGCTCGTACCATCGCGGGCCAGGTCACCAACATGTTCCCACTTTTGCAGCCAAACCAAACAAGGCCACGTTTCCGCCAGGCCTCCAGCAGCGTTATCGGACTGAAAACAGACATTTCCACCGTCGTGCCATTTTGCCAAGCACCTCATATCTTTTTCACTTTTCATCTCTCTTTGTCAGGCTCCAGCACACCCCGCGACCCTTGTGAGGCTAAGCGGATATGGATGGATGGAAGTCTCTTAGTCTGGCTGACATTATTCTTTCTTTCGTTAACTGTCTGGCCAAACCACTTTCATCTGACAGGATATCATTATTGGGGAAACATTGACTCAGGAACCAGCTACGGTTACATGTTCCTGCATCGGTATCAAGGGGATACGAGTTGAAGCCAACACTTTTGTTTTTAGTGTCGGGAGGCAGGGGGATTGAAACAGTCAAAAACAGTTGGATGCTTTATCTCCACAACCGACTACGACGCGGCTCTCGGTTTTCCACGTTTTCTGCAATCGTCATCAGACACGATCCTATAGTTCAAAAAAAGATTGGGAGTTCACTTTATAGGGTTGTCACATGATCGCAAATTAGGCCGATTCTGAATCCAAACATTGTTTTCTTTTTCTCCCTGCCAAACGCCTGAAGACACTTGCATAAAATAACTCGTGCTGTTATGCTATGAGGCTAATTTCGGGTTCGAGCTCAGGTGACTGACCTCTGCAGACGAGTCCGTCGTGGACGATGATGAGTTTGCAAACGCTGCAGGTCTTGGACTTCTTGAAAGTCTTCTCGCGGAAAGTGTGAGAATGCACGGCTTCCAATTCCTCGGGCTGCAAAGCGCAAAACATAAACAAACAGGTGGCCGGTCAGTGCCGAAATGTTTACGCTTCATCGGGTCCAGCATGTTGTTTTGGACAGATGTTTATGCAGCACGTTCGCATCATGGGAAGATGTCGCCAACAAATGGAATACCCGCTACAGGCATGAATCGACTTTGCCCGCAAGCCAGCTCTCCTCCACAGCATGACATAAATGCTTCAACGCCATCGGTAATGAGTGTCGGAATTTCCATGTTTTTAAGGCCCGCCGCACACCGAGCGACGTGGCTCAGAGTGACCAACGCAAAAGGCAGACGGGGGGCAACTGTCTGCTTCCTTTGGGCTCTTTTGAAGAACCGCGAGGCGTGTATGCCTTTTCCCGCTGAGGACTGACCAAAGAGAAAGCTGACGTCGTTTCTGTGGTCTATTTGTTCAGCTGCTCCCCACGTTGCCTCCACACTTTGGCTCATTAGACCTCCTGTTATGTTGCGGGTCAAACTGAGCCGCTCGAAAGATTAAATATCCAAAATATTGTTCTTAGAAGGAGAAATAGCTCCAGCTCTTGTTTTCCCATGAATGCTGTGTATTTTTCATCTCATTGTCACCGAAGAGAGTTTAAGTATCTTGGGAGGGCAGGAAGGGAGCGGGAGATCAACAGGCGGATCCGCGCAGAGTCGGTTGTGATGCGGACTTTGTATCGGTCTGACGTGGCGAAGACCCCGGATAAGCGCTAGAGAACGGATGGATGGATGGATGTCGGCAAAGAGGATGACTGCACTTTCAGCAAGTGTGAATGCTTGTCCGTGCCCGGCGCCTGACTTTCAATGCTCAATGAAAGACCGAGGAGTCGTGTTTGAGTCCCAACAAAAGAGGCAATCTGCTTGCATTGAATTTCTAACGTCTGCAGATGTATACACGGATTGAAGCGAACGCATCCATGTGGCTTTCGTTAACTAACAAGATGGACGAGGCTCCGAGTATAATGTTACCATGGCGGCATATTGGAGAGCCTCACACGGGGGAACACCAAAGCTACAGGGACCGCATGGCCCTTCCCGGACAAACAAACTGCACAACTTGTGTTATCTCGAGGTTCTTGACAACACTGAACCTTCCACAAGCCAAACACAAAAGCGTGCGGCGGTTTCTTCGAGCTCACGGGCCTCAAGCTTCCAGGCTGAGGTCGGAGTGGATGCTCTTGACAAAAGATGGAAGCAACGCGATGACGTTCCAAGCGCCGGCGTGGCTCAAGCCGTGTGTGACAGCTCGCTTGGTTGCATTTGAGTGGCGCATGGCAACAGCGCTCCAGCCAAGCCTTCATTCATTCTTCCCTGCTGGCCACCAGGACTTAACGTGATTAGCTTAATCGAGTTTGGCTGTAAGAGCAGCCGTGCATGCGCTGGAAGCGCCCGCCTTGCTTTTCTACCCAGCGCTGGAGGTCTTGGCCTGGCACGGCCAGCAAAAAACGTCTCAGTTCCGCAGGAAGCCGCAGCACGACTGCGTTAGTTGTTCATCGCAGAGGATAAAGGAAATATCGTTTTGAAGGTCTGTTAGCAATAAGCTAAACGGTCATTATCAAGGCAAAGTTGGTGGTTGTTCGTGTGAATTTTAGCTTGACAGTCAAATTCAACTGAAGGAGCCAAAAATTCATCTTTTTTTTTTTCTTTTTAACTGACGCTTGTTGGGTCATTCGATGAGTTGCATTCAGGCACCCCTGTACTTTTGTTCATCTATCTATGCCATTGGCGTAGAGTGAGCCAGAAAACGTCTACCAAACTCAAATTCTTTTGAGTCTATTTATCGGCCTCCTTGACATCGCCGAGACCTTATTCAGTCAGTCGCACAGCGGGTATGCCCAGCAAGGGGGAGACGAGGGGGGCGCGGGGGGGGCGGTAGGGGCAGGGTGTGGCACTTGGCCAAGGTACACATTGGTCATCCTCCTAAATGTGGAGGGCAAAGGGGTTCAGATGGCCTCTTTGCAATGCAGCCTCAGACGTTTAACCTGAAACTACGGCGCTGGCCAATCGAGCGCCACGTTTCCTTTTGTGAGCCCATAATTGTTTCCGACCATTCGCAATGCAGCTGGCACTGGAGGAGTTTGTTTATTGTTATTTGGTGGGGGTTGCCGGCGAGTCGCTTGTGTGTATGT